CCAAATTTTCATCCAGCAGGATGTTAGAAGGCTTTATATCACGGTGTATGATTCCTTGATCAGTGCCAGTGTGAAGGTAGTCTAATCCTCGGCCTACGCCAGTGCAGATCCTTAGGCGTTGCTCCCAAGAGAGAGAAGAGTGATAATCACTCTCTCCACTGGGTCCAAAGAGATGGTCAGCCAATGTGCCACTAGGAACATATTCATAGATAAGGATCATTTCTTGGCACTCCTTGCAGTATCCGATTAAAGAAATGAGATTAGTATGTTGGAGCTTCGAAAGGGTTTCGACCTCTGTCCAAAACTCACGTGCCCCCTGCCTGGAATTGGATTTTAATCGCTTTATGGCAACAATCTGTTGCCCCTTACCAATGAATCCTCTGTATACTTTACCAAATCCACCCCTCCCAATAACAAGTGCATCATTGAAGTTCTCAGTGGCTGATTGGATCTCAATAAGCGAAAAAGGACGGCATGTTTCTTCAGTAAGGCCTGATGGATTGTATCCACTGTCGGTAGAGTTAGCTTCCCAAATTTTCCGCAACTTATAAGTAATGATGTTGACTAGGGAGATTACAATTACTGCAAGAGTAGCAATTGCATTTCCATGACCAAAAAATGACAGTAAATTTAGCACTGTAGCGGATTTTGAAGATCGTCCTGGAGTGGAGGGGTTTGGACTTGCAAGACTGTTCTCGTGGTTGCTCAACTTCAGTATCTCCAATCCTTTAAAGAGTTCGCTTACCAATTCATCCTTTGATTGCAGGGAAATCGTTAGATCACGCCCGCCCTCTTCTTTGTGTCCTTTCACCATCACCATGTAGTATCTGTACAGATGGATTCGGCTGACGGCGCTCCTCTCTTTGCCTATATCGGCATTAATTTCTGCAATCGTGTCATTTATGAAGACACTGAATACGCTGTTTCTAGTCTCTGCCATCAGAAATCCCCTCTTGCAGAAATGAAGCCTGACCAAGTATCCGAATCCAACATCGACAGATGTTTTCCAGGTAAAATCTTTGATCTTTTCATCAGGAATTGTTGCCCATTTCCCAAACATGCCAAAATAAGAAATGGAGTCCGATCTGAAATTTAATCGCTGCATCATTTCAAGTGCAGTGCTGTTATCGATATAGAATCGAGATTTTTGGCCAACCGCTCGGGCTCCAAGATCATCATCATG